GCGGGGGAAGGGGCCGGTCACCCCCCCGTGCCAGTGCTGGCGTGTTGCGGAACGCCGCGGTGACCGGGGGAGCGGGGCGGGGGGCACCCGGGTCTCCCGGGTTGTCGCCGTGCAGCTGGTTTAGGCCTACCCACGGCTGACGCTCCTTGGTGTCAGGGCCGAGAAACGTTAAGCCCTAGGTTGAGAACGTTGGTCCTGAAATTGGTCTTTGTTACCTTAAACAAAATCCACAAACCAGTAATCATCAGATGCTGTGTTGGTGTAAAAGGTTAGCCATGGGTTGTGATCACTTAGCAGTAGTGTAGGTCAGCTCTTGCTGGATTTCAGTTTTCACCCCCAAAGTGGAGTTTCCGATGCTACAGCTGTGTTTTTTGGGACACGCTGTCTAGATTGCTACGGTGCTAATTCCTGCAGTAGGGATGGCATAGTTCTGACAGTGTCACTTTTGGTTGTGCAGTAAGAAAGTTCAACAAAATTAAAAGTTCCTGAATGCTGGACTTGTCAGATTATCGGAGATGGAGCAACTTCCCTGGAACATACACCTACCCACCATATACAGTTATACACAAAAATAGTAAAGCACAGTTTTTAAAGCTTTTCTACTTACCAGCTTGTCAGAACTAAGTAAGAGCAATTATCCAAGGAATATACATTTGTACTGATCACACACATACAGAATCTTGGCTCTTTCATGCCAGCATATGGCCGGGACTACTCAAGAGTGTCAAATCCATACTGTTAATTCAGATTTTCACCTACAGCATAATTGCTTTAACATGAGGGGTTATTCACAGGCATAAAATTTATTCTTTTTCATTTTAATGAAGGTTGTGTTTCTGTATGACTGATAGTTCTTAACGCAGTTTAGTTTCAGCTCTTTTGCATTTCTCACAAATTATTTTCCATTGTTTTGATAATATGATTTGACAGGTTTATTGCATTCATTCCACATACCTTTAGTGGTATTTTAAAACAATGTTACTAATGCTTAATTTGTAAATCATGTTGCCCTCTGTGTAATTCAGTCATTAAAAAAAAGAAGCAGGTACGTAGGAGTACATAAAATCTCAAAACTCTGATTGAAAATAAATGCTCCCCCAAATACAGAATTTTAATTTAAAAGCTGTGTTTCTGTTAATATAATTAAAATTAATCAAGCTTTTCAAAAACAATAAACTCTAAAAGAAGAAAATTTGAAGTTACCTTAAAATAATAACTGTTCCAAGATTTTCTTGATAAACTGAGTTCTCAGCCTTGTGGGAGTATTGTGTACTTGAAAAAGAGTTGAGCAGCCCATCACACAAGATGAAGTTACCTCATTTAAAATTAGATCTGAGGTGTAAATGTGTCTGAAATTTCAGATAATCTGAGAATAATAGAGAAATATTTAAGGTAGAAGTTGTGTGTCTGCATTACTGTGTGGATGCTGGTCCAACAAAATGCTGTAAAAATATCAATAATATGCACTGCCTTGTATCCTACTGGAGTAATCAAGAAGCTGAACTGACTTCAAACTATTAAGCAGGTCCATGAGCATATTTTATTCAACTATTTTTATATTTAAAAAAGACATGAAATGTTTACCTTTAGTCAGCATTTCAGCTTTTTAAAGAATACATCCTGCTTTACATTGCAAGCAATCAGTTAAGCAGAATGATTTATTGTCCTTCCCCTGTCCTGTCTATGTAATGATACTGCTCTGCGTCTGTTTACTGGCCACTTTTATGTAAGTAGCAGCTTAGGGAAAGAACAGACGTCACAGTGCTGGGCAGCCCTGTTCAAGGTTATGACAAAAAAAAATTATCTCTGAAGAGTATAAGAAATTACTGCTATTCTGTTTAAATTATTTAGTTTTATATCAAATTTCAGACTCTTTTACTTGGTAAGTTGCAGCAGAAAGCAGAACCACTTTAAATTACAGTTCAGTGAATAAATTCATTACATTCGAACCTACAGTGCAGATTGCCTGTTTCGCAGCAGATGGGCAGTGGTTTAACACTGCTGCACCTCGAATAGGAATGCAAATGTTGATTCCTATTAAAAAAAAAATAGAGAAGGAAAATAATCTTTCTGTAATAACCAAAGACAAAAAGCCAAACCAGGATTTTTTTTCCAATAATGATGTTGGCTTATCATAGCTGAGTTTTTAAGCAAAATAATGCCTTGAATTTTGTGGTTTTGCAAGGAACGCAGAGAGTGCTCTCTTGCTTGTTATTTCCACAGCCTAGCACGCTAGCAGGGAGTAGTTCATTTTATAGATAATTGGTGTTTTAAGCTCCAGGTTAAAATAAAGGAAGTTCCACAACTGGGGAACCTGTGGGGATGGAGATAACCCCCAAGAGACATGTGGAGGAAGGCTAGGGGTGGACAGAGATGACCAGGGACAGCAGGCTGCAGGAGGCTTGCTCGCTTGCCCTGAGAAGGGGGTGCGACACTGCATGAACACACACAGCCCAGGAGAGAAACCAGAGGAATTAGACATATCAGCACAGTTGCAGAGCTGTGACCTCTTTGGGATCACAGGGACAGGGTGGCATAGCTCATGATGAGTGCTGTGGTGGAAGGATACAAGGTCTTTTGGGAAAGCAGGCAGGGAAATGAGTGGAAGTTGTGTTCTACAGAAACAAGCGTCTCTTTGCCCGGAGCTTTCCTCTGCTTTGGAGTGAGCAATGAGCCAACTGAGATCTGAGGGGTCGGGATCGGTGGGGAGACCAGCACGAGGAACATTGTAGGGGCACCTGCTATAAACAGCCTGATCAGGAAGAGGAAACAGATGAAGCCTTAAGTAACTAGAAGAAAGCTCATGATTGTAGGACCTTAGAGATAAGATCCCAAGAGAAGTAAGGAAGGCAAATAGCAGAATAAAGATTATGGGCTTCAGGAGAACAGAATTGGGCTTGTTCAAGAAGCCTGCCTGTCAGTATCCCTCAGGAAATTACTATGGGGGGTGACGGAGCCTAGAAGAGTGAGCTGATATTCTAAGACACCATGCTCATAGCACAAAACCAGTCCCTCCAGTGAGCTGAAATGTGAGCAGGCACGGCAGAGGAACAGCATGGCAGAGGAACAGCTTGGCTGAATGGGCAACGCTTGGCTGAACTCAAACACCAAAACAGAGGGTTTGGAACATGGAAACAGGCATGAGCTACCCAGGCAATACAAAAAGATTGCCCAGGCATGTGGGGATGGAGTTCAGAGACCAGAGCTCAGTTGGAGTTGAAGTTGGCAAAGGATATGAACAACACCAAGGAAAGTGTCCATAGTTACTTTGGCAACAAAAGAAAGATGAAGGAAAATGTGGGCACACTCTTTGGCAAGGTAGGGGACGTCAAAAAGGAGACTTTTTTGTATCAGTTTTTACTAGCAAGGTCTGCTCACAGGCCTCTCAGGTTCCCTGTCACAGTCAGAGGGAGTAAAATACTAACCACAAAGGTGAAGACAGAGTTGGGGACTGCAGAAGCAAACTGGACAAAGACTGCTCCGTGGGACCAGATGGGATGCATCTGAGGGTGCTGAAGGAGCTCGTTGACATTATTGCAAGGCCACTGGCTGTTTTTCATCTTTGGCAGGTTGTGGTTATCAGAGGAGATTTCCAGATGACTGGAAAAAGGCAAATGTCCTATCTTCTTGCAGGAAGGAGGATCCAGAGCGTGACAGGCTGGTCAACCTAACCTCAGTTTCCAGGAAAATTATGGAGCAAATCCTCCATAATGGCCTCCTCTGGCTGTTTCCAGGTGTGTGAAAGAGAAGGCGGTGATCGGGAGCAGCCAGTTTGGATTTACCAAGGTCAAATTTTGTGCTTCGATCAGCCTGAATCCTTTGAGAGAGCTGGCTTGGTGGATGAGGGAAGAGCAGTGGATGTCATTTACCTTGAAGTTAGCAAGGCCATGTCAAACATGGTCTCGCTTAGCATCCCTGTAGTGAAAGTGGGGACATACAGGTTGGATGGAAAGACCACAAGGTTGGTGGAAAACTGAGCAGCTGGGCTCAGAGAATAGTGGTTAGCAGACTGACATCCAGTGAGTGGCCAAATTGAGGGTGGTATTTCTCAGGGGGTGATACTGGGGCCAATACTGTTTTAAGTTTTGCATTAACAACCTGGCCGAGGGGTGGAGTGCGTTCTCAGCAGGTCTGCGGACAATACCATGTTGCGCGCAGCCTTCGACACACTGGGCAGTTGAACTGCCACTCGGAGGGATCTTGGCAGGCTGAAAAGATGGACTGACAGAAAACTGATGAAGTTTAATAAAAATTAAAGCCTGCAGCCTGTGACAGAGTAACCCCATGCAGCAGTAAAGGCTGGGGGCCAACAGGGTCAAAAGCTGTTTTAAGGAAAAGGACATGGGGGTTAAAAAGGACAAGAAGTTGAGTGTGAGTCAGCGTTGTGTCTGCTGGCAAACATGGACAACATCCTGAGCTGTGTTAGCAAGAGCGTAGCCTGCAGGTTTATGGAAGTGACCCTTCCTCTCTATTTGGCACTTGTGAGACCACACTTGGAGTACTGCTGAACACTGGAACAGGGGCTCAGAGAGGCTCTGGAATCTCCCACCTTTGGAGATTTTCACAACTCAGCAGGACCAGGTCCTGAGCAAGCTGATGTAACATCAACATTGGCCTTGCTTTGAGCAGGGTATTGGCCTAGAGGCCTCCAGAGGTCCCTTCTGGCCAACATAACTGATTTAATGTACTTTATTCCTTACGCAAGCTGCATATTTGAGGCCCCATTCTGCCACTGGAGGCATCAAGGTAAAAACAAGCTAAAAATGATCAAGATTTAAAAAAAAAAAGTATGACTGTGATTCTAGCTACTCTTCCTATTTGGTTGTATTTGCTGAACACTTTTGTAGTGCCCGAGGGCTGGGGTTTTACTATTGACTTGAGTAGTAAGACTGATGCAGAGTTGTCACAAAAGCTCGCCATGAGGAAGGAGGTTATCTCTGGGCTGAGAGACTCCTCGGTGGCAGAATGACAGTGTTTCAACTCTGATTTGAAGAACCTTCTCTTACTAAAGAACTACAGTGGATCCTTGTGTATTTCACGTTTGAGGTTATGTTGTACAAGTGTGCGTGATAGGAGTATAAAAGAAACATTGGACGTTGCATGTAGTTAATTGGTTTTGGGTGCAGTATGTTATATATATTTGTGGCAAACTGAAAACATGGCTGTATTTATATAAGGTTTACTTGAGGTTAGGCTGGATAGAAGCATCACAAATTGAGTGAAAGTTCTGTAAGCAAAAAAACCCCAAACCCTGTTGACTCAGTGTTTGCTCTGTGAAATGGGTTGTTCAGTTAACTGAAGGCCTGAAGGCCATCCTGGGTGATGGCATGTTATCTCAAATAATACAGTTAGCTTAAAAATAGTACTGAAAGAGCCTAGAATACCAAAACTGCCCCCTCCGCATACACACTTAAAAACCTAACCTAAAACCTAAGAAAGCCAAAGAACTGGGAGGAAGAGAGGGAAAATCTATTAACTAGTTTGTGCTGGGACTCCTTAAATTGATTTCCATATTAAATTTGGAATTGTCTCCATTACATAGAAAATCTACATTGAGCTTGTAGCCCAGAGAGGGGGTTGAGCTGTAGCATTTGGATCTGGAACTGGCATTGTTCTAGATCCATGCTTGCATCTGAATTACTCAAATAAGGGGCTCCAGTAAGAGTTGAGAGTGTGAGTACGTTATGGCAGCCCTTACTAGGGCCCTGGTATGTGATGCCTCTTGTATTCTTGCTAGAAGTCTTGTGATTCTCCCAGAGTGTGCAAATGGATCTGCCAGCACTGAGGAGCAGCTACAGTATAATCATGCTTGTTCCAGCAAAGAACATGGTTGGCTCACCAGATCTGAAACACTGCTCTGCGCTGGTTTTGCCCCGTGGCTTTTATGTTTTTCAGTGAAAAAGCAATTGAGTAGCCCTATGGTAATACGGTACTAGCAATGTGTCAGCATTTTGATAAGCTTTACTATAGAAGAGTTTATATAAACGTTGTGTTTTCAGTCCATTTAGCTTTTAAGAGAGATAATAATTTAACTGCTAATAAGCATTGTGATAGTTGCAGACGGTTCTACGCTACATGGTTGGTTTGGTTGCTCTTTCGCAGCAATACCTGTAGTTGAAGTAAGAGTTACTACTTGAATACATTTGTTAATTCACAGGTTATATAAAATATATCCAGTGATGATAATTGGTCATTAATAAATGGGGAAAATAGACACAGAGTTTGAAGTGATCAGGTCAAAGTCATAGAGTGAAACCAAATCTCATCATTTTTATAGCTATTGTGCCTGTATATTTGCAGATTACTTCTTAATGCAATTTATCGATCAGTATATACCAACTGAGAGTTTCCTCTTGGCATTCCCTGGGATAAGAGACAGTTAAGAGACATTTGCAGCAGTTTTGCTCTGTCAACCTGGCATAGAGGTGTTGTGCTGAGGTGAGGCTGTAACCCCAGATACTTGGAAATTCCATTTCTAAGTACTGGTGGTTTTCTGGATACATACAGCTTCTGAGAGAGGTTTTGGGAAGGTTACAAGCTGAAGTCAGTCTATGGCATCTGTACCCTCTGACAGAAGAGGGCTGTGGGCAGGGCTGTGATTGATGGAACTGTGCAAGCGCCTCTTCAGCCTTTGGCAGAACTTCTGAGTTTCTTGGAGAAGCATCTGTGTTTCAAGGAATTCATCCAAGCAAACATGAAGTTTTCTGAAGAGGGAAAACCGTACCTGAATGGATTCAGAGTAGCAAGTAGAGTTTTTAAGAGAGGCATCCTACTGTAGGAAAGGTTTACTGGCTTCTGTCTGGGCCGGATTTAGGAAAAGCAGCTTGAGGCCCTAACAAATTATTGTTGATTTCTAAAACCAACAAACCAAAAAATACCCCACTTCAGAAGACTTATTGTCTGCTTTAAGACGAACTTCAATTCAGAAACTTTATTCTGTAGAGTGTTCTTTATAGAAAGCAAACAATGTGAATGTGTATGTACATAATACATACAAACATATGATGCCTGGACTGGCAGTATTGTCCATCTAATGTTCATACATAATTATCCTCTCCCTTTCCTTTTCTAGGAGTCTTACTGTTTATGCAGTAATTTTCACAGCGTGATGAAACCTTTTTGTAGGAAAACCCATTTAGTTATTTTGTTTACTTTAGAGTAATTTAAAGGTCAAGAAACAGTTTTAAATACAGTTTCTAAGAAACACAATTGGATTTACAGCTGTCACTGATCTTATAAAACCTTCATATTTAAGATGCCAGCTGGGAACTATGTACAAAGACTATTCTAAAAGTATGAGAAATACAGATTTATATGAACTTACATACATTATGTTTTGTTAAAAAATATATTTCACACTTTTCTATTATAAGCGGAACTCAAAATGAGAACACACAAAATTTGGAGGCACTGGAAACATCTATGCACCAAGTTACAATTAATATTAACAATCCTCAAAAACCTACCAGAGAAAGCAGTGTATCTAACTGAAGAATTAAATTAATATAGCTACCCACTTGTGCTGTTTAACTGAGAGAAATATAGAAAATGAATTGTCTGAACATGTATAATCTCTTGTTTGAGATCGGGCAGCAAAAGGGAAAAAAGCTTATAAAACTGAAGCACAAGTGATACATCGTAAGAACTCTTTACAAGAAGCTTACAACACCGTTTAATATCTACATAATCTCTAATAAATGGAATTTCCACTGATTATATACAGATTTCAATGCTGTTATCATCTCATCCAGTCTTTCTAAGAGACTCTGCTTATAAGGATTAGTGGCAAAGTTAATTATGGTAAAAGAAAAATGATTGTTAAACTTGGGATGAAAATGGTGTCTAGAGAATATCTGTTTGCTGCCTTCTACTCGCAGATGCTAAGGCAGTTTTAATTAGGACCTTGGATATTCCCAAAAGGTCTTTTCTGGAGGTTGCTGTACGTGATAGATCCAAGCTAACTTCAGAAACGTAACGCTGGGTACCAGAGGAGGGCTAACTGCAGCAGCATAAAATAATTTGCATTTCCAAGGAGAGTGTAATAATTGAACAAAATAAGGTGTCCAGTTCAACACAATGTTCCCATATCACATGGATTATCAGATCTAGTCCACATGGGAAACTTTTTTCTCTAAACAGTCACTTTCCCCTTAGAGATAGTCATTAAGATGTCAAGTGCTTAAGAGTTGCTATTGATTTCAACAGGAAATAGGAATGAACTGGAGTTTTGGGGGTGAACAGAGCTACTCCCACCAGTACTTTAGAGTCATTTCAATTAGCTTAATCAGAAAGTCAAGGTGTTAACTTAATTCCACATCAAAAGAGGCAGTACAGTTGTGGGTTGCTGTGATCTTGCAACAAGGCACAGAGCTACATTTTCCAAGGTTGCACACTTTGATGAATAAACCAGAAATCCTTGCATATTTTGGCTCCACTTGGGTATACCTGCAGTCTTTCCTGTTGTGATCTATTGGACTGAAGTGACCTGTGCATAGCACAGCTGAGAACGAGTGCAGGGTTGTATAAGGGTCTTACTGTGCTGTATGCATGTAATCACTGCAAGGACCCACTGCAGGAACCGCCTGGCATCTCAACGGGTGCTTTATCTGATTAAGGACACAATCAGGACTACATTTCATTAGTAAAGGCTTGCAATTGTTGAAAGAAAACTAGTTATCGCCATTCATACATGTGACATAATGACATGAATGTGCTCTTTGAGATGTGTTCTTACGTGGCTGTCAGGAGGGCACTAGTCAAGCCTCTCAGATGCGTGTGATGAAAAGAGGCACATCTAGACTTTGTGAAAAGCATTTTGTATATGAGTAGTTACAAGAATTAGAAATACATTTTTTATCAAAAAAATTAGGTGATTAATCTCTATTTTAGAGGTGCAATCTATTTAAACCTGGTGTAATTGAAATAGGATTTTTTTTTTATTCTTTTTGAATGTGTTTGAAAAATCATGTTTGCAAAGTATGTTCTCATCCCAACAACTCTGGTATAGATCAGAGAATTGGTGAAAAGCTCTTCAGATGGTCATTCAATTTATACACTAAAAGACAAACCCTACTAAATACATCATTCTTGATGGATGTGTGTGTTTAACCTTCAAAGGTGGAGATTCCTCGGGGAATCTATTCCAGTGCTGTATTAGCCTTACCACTAGCTTCCCAAAAAGTTAGCATGATTCTTCCTTGCTATAATTTAAGCCTATTATTTTTACTATTGTCTGCCACTCACGTGAAGTACAAATGATTCCTTTTCTCATTCCAGAGCTATACATGTATCTAAAGACTGCTATCCTCTTCCCAGACTGCTTTTTCTTCTCCAGCTTAAACTTTAACAGTCTTTTTAATCTTTCGGCATAAGCCGTATCTTCCAGTACTTCAGTTACCATCATTGCTTCTCTAGACTCTGCTTAGTGGCCCACATCTTCAGGGTAAGACATGGAAGGTCTTGTCCAAAACTGGGAGAAGAGCTTCAGCTGAAACAGCGCCAGTGCTAAGTGAAGTGGAAGGATTAAATCATGTACTGCTTAGACCATCAGGTTCCTGTACCCTTCAGTTTGCAGGAACTCTCTGGGAGAGGGATTCTCTGGATTCACACAGAGCAAACTGAGTCAAGAATCTGGAATTATTTAATGTCCTTTGAAATCTAAAAGGAATTTTCTAACACTGCCTTGCTATAACTTAGTGTCCTTTTCAGTGGATTACTTAGTTTGGAGTGACTGCCATCTGGAGGTTGGGAAACATGGAGCTCTGTATGCCTTCATGCTGAAAAACAAAATCCCCATGCTTTATAAATGAAATGTTCTTACATGAATAGGAGCTTGAGCCTGACAGATACTGGACACCTGCCACTCGGTATAGAGTTTGTGACCCATAGCAAGAGTTGAGGCTGCTCAGTATGTCTCAGAGTAAGGCACGCAAGTGTAATGACTTTTCAGTATTATGCAATCACCAATAAATATGTAGCCTCTGAGTGGTCTGTGTGGTTTTTGGAAGAAGCTCTGGACAACACGGGGACAAGGAAAGGCTTGATCTGCTCTCTCCTTTCCCTCTTTCAGATGTTTGAAAGTAAACCGGTTCCTGGTGCAGTTTTCTGCTCACAGGAGAGAGCAGAAAGCATTTTAGCTGAACAAGAAGATGTCTTTTTTAAAGAGTAGGTTCCCATTTGGTGTGTCTGAACACAGTTGTCCACCACAATTCATGTCTGCACAGAGTGGAATCAGTCTTCCTCACCTGGGCTGGTTGCATGATGTGGTCTTCCTTCTTCCCTAGGTAGCTTAGCTGTCATCTTGAAAGCCTTAATCCTCCAGTTCTTGCTGCATCAAGGAAGCCAGGAGGAGAACTGCTTGGTGCCGTGACTTCAGCAAGTGGGATTTGGCCCTTCTTTCTACAGTGTCTTTTGGGTTTTTTTCCGGAGACCACTTGGAAATTGACAGTGATCACACTGTTCCATACCACCTCTTGTGCTTTTGAACTGCCTTCTGCTGCTGAAGTCTAATCATAAAAACAACTAGCCTTAGTTGCAAAGCATAAGTATACACATCTCCACCTCAGTCTGGTGAGAGATTGCAGCCTTTTGTATCAAGGCAATGCTAATGGCTTCTATGTTGATCCCCACCTAGGACTGAGCATGGTCCTACAGAAGCTACATACAGTTCAAAAGGCAGATACTGTGTATATACTCTCCACGCTCTGCTGATTACTGCTTTTTCCCTACAGAACAACAGCTCATAAACAAAGTTTGCATCTATGTAATGAAGATGCACTACTGAACAGGCTTTAGGTATTGTGTCAGTTTAGCTTGATGATAGTTTTCCTGGGCAACCACAGATTTTAGGAACTATGAACCTGTTAAATTCAAGGTTGATGATCCTAAGAGTGTAAGACAGGTTGCTGAGCCAACACACCTTCAGAGCAAAATGTGAAAGCCTGCTTCCTTGTCAATGAGTTTCCATCAGCTAAACCAGAAAAAAAGAATAAGAGAAGGGAATTTGAGAGCAGCAAATCTAAAGAAAGAAAAATGAAAACTAGTGTGAAAAACATTTGGTCTCCTTCCCTTAGCAGGGAGGGGTGAAAAAGCACAGAACATGTCTCACGTGCCTTAAATTTTATTCTTCAGAGCAAGCTTAAACATGCAGATGACAGAGGCTGATGAATCCTTGGCTAACTACATGAAATGCAACAAGCTGCTGTGTTTTATTGCTCTGACTTTCCGAACTGAAAGTATGTTGTTTATGTTGGGGCTTATCTGAGCAGATCTCCATTAATTGTTTATTTTCAGGAGATAAAAATTCAGGAAGAAATTGCCTTTTGGCTGTAATCTTGTTCTTTCTGATGTTAGTGGCAACCTTACTGTAGACTTGCATGCGAAGATGGATGAGATCTGTAGTGCTAACTCTCTGTATATGGCCAAGTCACCCCAAATACAAAGAGGATTGTCTCCTATGACATTGTTGGACAGCATCCATCTTTGCTCTTGGAAGAAAAATCCATGCTAGACAGCAGTATTGGTCTCTCTGAGAAAAAGATTGAGGAATTTCTTACATGCTGTGGAGTCTGTTGGCTAGAACCATTCAACTTGCTTTGTTACCATTATATTTTTACTGAAGCACTAGGAAAGCTGGAGCTCACCCTCAAGTTTCCTTTTTCGTGCTCCACTGCTGAAGAAGTAATCTGTGTTTACCAGAACCCTGCCAAGTTCAGTATTCATTCGACTGCCAATAGTCTGGTTGGTCGAGTTGGGAACTTTGTTTGAGAACACAGGCATATAGTTTGGCAGTGGCTTCTGCTCCTTTTTCTTACCCTGGATAAAACAAAGACCATTAATAAGTTTTCAGAATTATGTCCGTTGCTTGTTACAAAAATACAAGTTACTGAGATTATTTATAATATCAGCATTTTTGCTTTTGAAATTAGACTTTGAATGTACTTTAAAATGTCATACTGAATGTACATGAAAGTGTTGAAGGAATAAAACAATTTTTTTTTCCTGTCATCTTACATGGGAATAGGATAACACAGGAAAATGAATAATTTTCAAATGTGTTGCATAAAATGTCAGCTAGGACAGAAGTTAGCCTGCTCTAGAATGGTCGTGATGTAGGAGGTTTTTTGTTTCGTTTTTAGTAAGTGGCTTGGGTTTCAGCATGATGACATTATCTTACAAATTTTCTCCTAGGAAGTTGGTTCTTCTAGCACTTGTCTTTCTATGGAGTTGTTAATATTGAAAGAGGTCGAACACACACATGTACAGTATTTCTTTGTGGCGTAGGTAGCAGTTCTCTTTTATTTTTCCTAAAGATTTTGGTCTTGAAGCATTTGCCGATTATGCCTAAGTATGCTTCAATTTGAAATATTAGCTTAGCTCAAATTGATGAAAACTAAAAAGAGCCTGGATTACAGCTGAAAGTCTGTTCGAAACTTACCATTTGGTCATAGTCCTTTAGGAAACTCCAGTTCTGGTACCTTGGAATAGAAGTAAAAAATGCAGCGTCAAATTTTCTGTCTTTAAATAAAATAATGTTGGTCATATTTAAATGCCTGTTTAACTGCTCAATTTGATACTTACAGCCCAGCTCTTACACCTGCAAACTCTTCATACTGAAACCTGTCTTTTCTGTGGTGAAGCCCAGGGTTTTCTTTATTCTGATATAAAGCCCATACTACATGAGGATTAGAGTTTTTTTGCTAAAGGAAGATGAGGATGAGGATGGCATGTCCACAGTGTATTCTTTGTGCAAATGCAGATAAATTAGCAAAGTCCTGAGTCACTCTAGCAAACTTTTGTCCCGTGCCTTGAGCAAGACACAGCTTCTTATTTTTTAAATGACCGATATTCTGCTGGCAGAAGTCCCTGGTAGGAATTCCCAGAGCCATATTTGCTGCAGGTGAACACCCATGGGAGTATTTTGTGCAGATAGACAGCTGTGCTGAGTCAGAAGACCTGAGTTTTGCTCTTCAGCCCTGTTCTATACCTGGTGTGGGACTACAAGGCAAGTCCTTTGATTTTCTGTCCTTTGCTTTCCCTGGCCTGAAATGGAGAAAACGAAAGTTCACCTGCTATTGTAAAAGTACTGTGAGGTCAATAGAGGAAACAGTTACCTACAGCTGTATTTGCAGCAGGGCTCAAGGGACGCCTGGGTTGACTCTCTGAGCTGTGTCTATGCAGTGCTGCATCTAGGCTTATTGATGTAGTGCTGAAGTTGTACATCCTTCCGAGTTGAGCTCGTCTGTACAGCACAGCCATGTACCATGTGGAGCTAGGAGCATTGGATTTCTGTGCTGCACTCCCCCGTCCAGTGCATATGTACCCTAGGTGCAAGTAAAAGCTAATTTATGATTGTGTTTATCACTATGTGTCTTGGTATACCAGCACAGCACAGAGGTCCTAAAATTTTTTATCTTGCTATGCCAGCCACTATTTGAACATACCAGATTTGGGTGTTACTGGACGGTGCTAATTACTGAGAAATGCTTGGGTCTCAGACATTTACCTGTATCCACTTCAAGTCAGACCACCAACATGTAGCAGCCTTTCCCCATCATTGTTTTTGGGATGGGGATGTGGAGCTCAAGGACAGTTCTCTGCAGGCTGTAACATATGTAGTCTGATGAACCCAGCTTTAGGCATCTGTCCTTCACATGTCTGTCCTACCCTTTTGCAAGAGTTTCTGTCTTCGTAGCTAAGACTAGAGAGCAGGACAAGCATCAGCTGTATGATGTGTTACTTTACTTACCCATGTAAGTTTGCACCAATATCCACGACTGTGAACCCCAGGGGGCCTGCACAGACAGAGAGTCCCTCCTGCTGCCTTAGCTAGGGAATGGGCATGGAACATGCTGGGCCCGTTTGGGAAGAGTCTGAGTGCACAACTGGGACAGAGTAACATTGCCACCACAGCCTTGGCTTTGCATGAGTCAGAGTCCTGGTGTCAGCCTTTCTCTCAGGTAAAATGAGCCAGACGAGTGCAAATGCGCCTCTGGGGAAATCAGAGCTGTGATTGTATCTCCTCCAGAAGGCTGAGGAGGACAGGGGTTTTCAGTTGATTTCTTTTCCCATTCTAAAAAATCCTGAGAGTGATGTTCTTTTTCCTCTCTTTCCTTTAGCTTGGATAGTGCACAGTCGAAACTGGATCTGATTTTACTTCTACCAAGGATATTCTTCTAATAGGCATGCTCATGCTGTGTACTGAAGTATGAACGTAAGCACTTACTCAAGATATGTGGCAGAGACAGAGAGGATCTTAATTTTGGGTTCCTTCAGGTCTGTGGTGTATACACAGTCAAAGCTTAGGTTGTATGTGTGCAGTTCAGTCTGCTGAAACACTGTAACAATGGGGCATGTTCAGCGGATTTGCAGATTGGGAATACAAAATCATATTTTGGCAGAACACTCTGTTCAGCTTCCATTTCAGCCATTTCCAAGAATATGAGAAGAGGTGATAATATCAGTGTGTCCGCAATAAATTATAAAGGTTGGCACATTTATATCTTCATTGTGGAAATCTCTATAAAGCTAAGAGATACTTAGCATGCAATTCTTTGCATCTCTTTTGTTAAAGCTTAAGCCCAGCATGCCAGGAGATATTAGCATAGATTTTGTCCAGTGAAAGAAAACAGAGATAATACAATCTTAGAAAGAAAGGTGTTAGGGTCTGATCCAAAGTCCCTGCAGAAGAAAATTTCCTTTGATAGTGTAGGCTTTGGATCAAGCCCTAAGACTGTCAGGGAGCATCAGTACCATTGTCAAGATGAGTAGAAGAGGCACAAACTGGAACAAGTGACTTACCAGATTTTTCTTCCTCTCTGTTCAGCCTCTACAGACTCTCTCCAGATCTTATCCTGTTGAACCTGGTCCTGCTGCAGTGCTGCCTGCTCATCTGCCCAGGCCCGAGTAGCCGGCTGTGCAGCAACAGGTCTTCTGGGTTGGCTGCTGCCAAGAGACGCAGATGGAGCTGAGGCTGGTTGTCCCAGAGGTGTGGTTGCTGGTTGCCAAGACCTAACCAAGTTATTTCTCCTGAATCCAGAACCCTTTCCCAACTTGTCCATTTTGAGACTCACTGTATCCCCAGTATTGTTAGGTATATTGTGACAGTTAGGAAAGTTAAACCGGCTATTGTTTGCACTTTCAAAGCTCCTTCTCTCCTAACGTTTTCTTTTAGCTGCTGATTTGGAGAGCTTTCAGAAAATGAACGTACGTGGCAGCACTGACAGGCAGTGCTCGGCAGTGTTTTACTTGCCTCTTATTTAATGCTCATTTCTTACTGCTTTATGTTGCTTCATTGCTTGAATGCTGAAGGAGTTTTCATGGTAACAGCAATTTTGTACGAAATGACTGTTACTGAAAGCCATCAGTTCTCCAGCTGTAACCAGCAAACTCAGCTTATGAGGTGATTACTGCTGCTTGCAGCTGAGACCACCCTCTATTAAAAATCCTCAGAACAATAAAGTCTGGTTTAGCAGCAAAGGGTGCTGTGGAGATTGCTGCTGAGTACGTCAGGAGGACTTTTGTTGTGGTTATGTAGCAGAAGCAAAATCTCCTGAAAGCTGCTGGTTTCCCTGGTGTGTTTACTGTATCTATTGGAAACAAGTCTGACTTGTGAATATGCACCAGAAAGGGAGCAGAGACCCAGTGGGACAGCTGCTGGGGCCTTGAACTCTATTTGGGGCAGAGCTTGTTTGTTTAAAATAAGGTATTTCAATGAATCTGTGCTTTGAAAGCTCCTTACTTTCATATTTTAAAAAAAAGAGCAGCCAGAGATCATCAAAAGTCCTTTTTAAGTACTTAGAGATTTCTGCAGAAGGTATTAAGCAACTATGAGAAGTAGTTTTTAAGTAATTTTAAAGGGTTATTAGTATACAGAGTGAGAATTTTCCAAACAGTGTCCAAAATGTCAGTGTTTGTCTTTACAGTCAGCCTGTTGGGCTTTTGTGGTATGAAGTCACTTCCTCAAGTATTTGTGAACTTGCAGGAAAATGGACTATTTTAAATATAAATTTCCTCTGAAATTCTTGACTGACTTGTTTTTGAGTAGTGTGGATTAGCTCCAGATGAATTCTAGCCTCTTGCTTCATCTTCCTGGTAAATGCTAATGAACTTTGAATCTACTTTTTTAGGGGTTTTTTGGCAAACTGATTTGCTTGCAGTATCGGGAAATACATGCTGAATTTAGCAAATAATTTCTTTTAAAATAGTTACAACTATACAACAATCCAAACACTTCACGTAGATGCATTTGAGCAAGAAATTCTTCTGTATTTGGAAAAATTATTCTGACTTTGAAGATTATTAATAACATAACTTAAGAAGAGGTAAACTCCACCTCAAACCACAATGTTTGCTTTGGGTTTGAATGAAATTTTAGTAGGCTTTTTGTTTGTTTACTTATTTTTCTGAGATAGTTGAAACCTAAACAGTGTTTTTCATCTCTTTCAGCCAAAAAGCAAAAAAAGTCATGTATCCACACAGCATCACCATGAACTGAAGAAATGAACTGTTTGCCAACCTGGCCTGATAGTTGTCTCTGTTCCTCTTGTGGAATCTGCTTATCCTGCTGCATTTGTTCCAGGGTCCTCTCCAAGTTGGAGTGTGTGCAGCTGGTTGGAGAATGGGGTTTTAGCAGCATCTAACTGCTCTAAAAGGAGGCTGAGGCATGTTTGGAAGACCCAATGCATTAATCAGTGTGCATGGGATTTTAGCTCCTGATCAGGTCAGGAAAGGATCCTGATTGGGAAGTCTGTTCCTGTGCATGGAATGCTTTTTAATTCTCGTTTACAAAGTTCTTGTGTTATTTTAATTCTAATCCTTCCTTCAAGTCAGTTTCTGCAAATTAAACATAATAATAAACTAAAAATGGCTATTGAGCTGAGTACATAGCTTCCAAATGACTACTTGTAGCCACTGAATAAACTGGATGGAAAGATTACAAGCAGGTTTTTAAAGTCTATGCCATTGAGTGGTGTCTGCAAAGATGCAGGAGTTGTAACTACCCTGGTTTTTAATGCAGGTGTAGGGCTACAAAGTGCCTCTCAGAATAACTTACTGAAAGTGAACTCATAGGTTAAAGCCAGATCTGTTGGTCTGAGACCCCACAACCTTAGGAAAAAAGGAAGTCTTAACTGTTTAGGACTTCTTTAGGCTTTAAACAAAAGTAAGCTATGAGTCTACATGCAGGTATTGGACACTACATAATGTTCAAGCCATTTCTCTGGAAATAATAGATGGGAATGGGATCATGGCTGTTTAAATAAGTTGGGTTTTTAAAAATATTGTAATAACATGACTTCAAAATGTAGCTGCTGTTCCAAAACCAGATCAGTAAGAGCTGATATTTTGAAAATTATTCCATTTTCTGTTGGGACCAGAAGTCATTAAGGGGGTGGTTATACACCATTGAAGTACATCAGGGTGAGTGCAAGGATGACATTTCTGGGTGTTACTCTAGATTCCTTGCTGGATATACTAGTAGCCCATTTAGGCCTTTTACTAGATTAACAGCTCAGCAGAACTGCTGCAGATACTGAACTGTTTCCCCTCATATTACCATCTGCCAGTTTAGCATTTTATTTGTTCATTATAACAACTCGGGGCATTTAAGCAGGGAGCTCATTTGAATTGGTATGACTGATTTACTGTGTACTTCTTTTCATCCTGTAGTAGAATAGGTTGATGTTTATTGTGGCTTCATGCCATATGTATCTATGTAAATTGATTATAGCATCTTTATTTTTTCTGGTTGGGGACGCAAAACTTGAAAAAAGTTACGAGTGTCACTGTAGGAGACGGTACCTTTGCTTAGGAGTTCGTTTTGGGATTAGTTTATCTGACAAGCAGTGTTGGTGCCCATCATTCTGAGGAAGAACTTGTCTGAGGTTAGTCTTTTGTTGTTGCCAGACAACTGATGATATGCACTACAAATTTGTCTGTGAAAAATATGTGAGTTATTTCCCCCGTCAAAGGAAAAGATGTCTAGAGAGGCTTTTTATGGAGGAAAAAGTTCAGGTGTTTAGACAAAACATTTTTATTTGACCACAAGAGGGTATTGCAGTATCACTTATGCAAGACTTGAGCTAATGTTTGCCTTTATATGCACTGCCTTATTTTTAAAATACACATTTCTCGAAATTGATCATTTACATTAGGCTGTAGTTAAGAAAATTAGGTTTTGTATGCCAGTATTTGATGTCCTTGTCCAGAGGCAATTTCTGAGCTGTTTTTTCTAAAATTTGTTTTGTTTTTTATAGTAACAAGTTTCTTGAAGCTCAAGAAGTTCTCATAGATTTCACTGGAAGACAGGGACTTCAGAGGCTTATTCCAAAACACTGAAAAACTTAATGGAAATTGCTTGGTTAAATGCAAGAATACTTCAGTTACAGAAGGGAAATAATAACAGCAGATGAATGTGTTGCCGCTTTGGTTGGAAGTGCATGTTGGTCCAGGATGGGTGCTGTCAAAGTCAGTGAGACTCTGATCTGATTTTCCCATGTCATCCTACTTGCAGGAATAACGTCTGAAATCTTTTTTAGCTCATTCGTGTTTCCCAGATTTCTCCTTTACATCCAAGTCTTCTACAGTATACATCCAATGTTGGTTTACACTTTTTTCCTAAGTCAGTACTGTGTTGGGATACTTTCCTACAAAAGTTACGTCTTCTAAACTTTAAGGACAGTGTTGCCAAAGTGTTCATGCCATGTTTTGTACAGTTCAGACTATGGAAGAGGGAGCTAGAAGGATTTCTGGATTCTCCCACTCTAGATCTGCTGCTGAATTTAGGAGAAGATACATGGTATGCCTGCCTGCCTCTCAACAAGCCCGCCTGTAAAAGAAGAAAGATCACAGCCATATCACATTATCTGTGAAGAACAAATTTCTGAGGGGTGTGATAGTGATTTGATGGACAGCAAAGCGATCTTCATATAAGAAAGTTTGTGAGATATTGCAGCGATTTAAGAAACACACACGTTTAAAAACACACATGCAGTGTATATGTCACTTGTGAGTAAGAGGCAGGAGCAAGATCGTCAGCTGGAGGAGAGGGCAGGTCTCCGGAGACCAGCTTTTCAGAGCAGATCACCATTCGGAAGATCTCTGCCTTTTCACAGATGGGATGGAGACCCCCATGTAAATCTTTCGATACGAGCAGTGTTGCCTGCCTCGAATAGTGACATTTGCATTGTCATCATCATCTTCCTCAAATGAATAAAGATCAGTCAAGTCAGTCAAGATTGCAGGCTGGAAGATAGGTCATGGCGATGGTTAGTAGAGTGGGGTGTTAGATGATTGGTCAGAGGACGCTGAGCACTCAGCAGAGAAGTGATGGATGGCAGAGCATTACTGTGGTGCTTTCTCACCGGCCCTGGGCGTTAACCAGCCAGGGCCCTAGAAAGCCTGGAGGTGACAGATCCTGCTGACAAGCTGTGTCTGGCAGGAGGAGAATGCCTTGGGTCGCTGTATGCAGCCAAAATGAAAACAAATCCTGCAAACTGCCATTTTGGAGTACAACTCCGTTTAAACGATTACGTAGCTGCTTGATTAAAGGCCTCGTGTTAAGTTTTGCTGTAGCTTTCATAAAAAAATATAAACTTCTTTCTTGTCTTAATGGAGTTCTGCTGAAAGAGCCTGGCAAGTTGAACGTCTGTTGCGTCGGCAGCGTAGAGAT